GGATGGAGTGGTTTATGGCGTATAGTCGTATCAGAATCAGTTTGATTGTATCCATCAGTCAATTAAAATCATTATGCAAAGCAGACATAAACCAACTGACAGACACACATTCTCTGTGTGTGGCTCGGGTCCATCGGACCCATCGGACCGATCAGGCGGCTGTCAGCGTTGACAGAAGGGCGAGCTGCTAGCCCGGATTAAAATGGCCGTGGGGCGCACAATAAGAAAACGAGACAAAAATCAGAAAGAAAGACTCATCGGACATGTGTCAAGCTCAGCAGCAGCAACGGCAGCAGCAACTCTTGGCTACGGTAATTTCAACGTCAATTAGATGATGTTTACTGCATTTGCAGCAAATTGACAAACTCGTCGCTGTCAGCTGGCAGCAACAGCTCGGCATTTTCCACTGCCACACCCATCATGTGGACAGCAAATAAAAATTCAAAGCGAGCAAATATGCTGCTGCTGTTGGTTTGCGGCTGCTGTTCGATGCTGTTGACGTTATCAAAAGTTGTGGGTAAACCGAGTAAAAGAAAGCTGTAGAAAATACATAGGGAAGAAATCAAGCGAGTCATGAGAAAAGGATACAAGTAATTTGCCAAGGGCAACACGGCCACAGCGGAAGTTAACATTGAAAAGGATTACCGCGTCGCAGCCAGTCCCAACCCCCAGCCCCGCCCCATCTTTGACAGTACCAGATACGTCCCTACCTTTGTGCGTGTCTGCCTCTTGGTATTGGGCACAGTCAATGCTACCCTTGGGTCGTTTTCCCGATTTTATTTTGCCTCTTTTTCCCATTTTGATAGCGTCCAGGTAAAAAGTCAAAGATTTTTAGTTGCCCACCTTTTGCGATTTGGCATTCTTGTCTTTGGGTTTTACTTTAACTTTAAGTTTGTCTTTTCGCTCCCAGCAGTTGGCAAATTGAAATTTGCATTTTGATTAGCTGCGGCTGCAGATAAATATGTGATCCAACTGCGCTGCAATTTGCATTTACGAGCACCTTGTGTGGCTGTGTGTGTAATAATGACTTAATAATCCTGTGCACAAAGTCCTTTTGCAAATTATGACATTTACGTACTAATTTCCTTGCTAAATACGTTTCGGCGACAATGAGGCGTACCCAAAGGCTGCCCGACTACAACTGACGGGCATAAGTTCTTAACTTAAGCTTTTTTGCCACACACATAAAGTTTTGGGCCAGAGCAACCCTTCCTTGCGTCCGGACAGGGGGAAATGAGAAATTTTAAGTGAACTAGATTTTTGGTCTGTTTGTTGGCTTTGTTTGCGTTTCACCTGCCTGCTGCAGCAGAATTAACATCAACTGCGAGCACATGTGCTCGTATGTGTGCTTGCTTGTATGTGCAGCCAGGTGCTGCGCTAGGTGCGCCTCGTTGTGCATGTGTCTCGATTTCTGTTTGCGGCTGTTTGCAGCCAGGTTACGTATACGCCGCATATGCCGCCCACAAACAGACACTCAACCCGGCAGAGATACCTCAAAAAGCCAGGCATAACTTGGAGCCGAGTTGGTTGAGGAGCACGGGCGAGTGCAACTAAGTGACTGACGTCCAGGTCCGGAGCAAGGATTAACGTTGCCAGTGCTGCGGTGTGCCCAAAATCGTTTGGCAAAGCTAAAGAGCTAAGCTCGTAAAATGCAGCTGCTCTACAAATGGCCGGTCTTATTAACTGGAGTGGGCGAGACAAGTCTATGCAAACAGTCCAAAAATTTAAACTAACCATAAACTGTATTTTATTTTAAGGGAATAACTCACAAACGGCTTAGTTGAAGCATTAGCAATAGATACAAATCTGTACAACAGGTAGCTTCGAGAGTTTTTAAATGAGTTGGACACAAAACGTTTGCAAGGGGGTTAATTTACCCGCTATTTAACTGAGCATCTGCTGTGCATAATTTATTGGCAATGTGAAGAGCATTGAAGCGCAAATATTTGCTTAGCCTCCAATTAGCCATGCCAACAAGTTATTAATTTGCCAGAATAGCTCTGCCAATGATACCCTGTAGCCACGTATTAAAATGAACGTCAGGGTATAATATAGTTAAGCAGAAGGAAAAGCATGTTAAGTGTTTATGAAAACACGCTGATTTATTTCGGGCAAAAGGACATTTGCCATTGCATAGTTAGACACAAAGTATCTGCAAGGTATCTGAACCCATTGAAAAGGGCTAAAAGGCATAATGTATTTGTATAAATGTATGTAACAGGCAGAAGGAAGCAACTCCGACCTCGTAAAGTATATATTTTCTTGATCAGCATCACAAGCCGAGTTAATCTAACCGTGTCCGTCTGTCTGACCGTCTTTCCGTCTGTCTATCCGTATGTATTAAAGCAAAGATCTCAGAACCTTTAGCTAGGGACGTCTTAAATGTAGGTCCTCCTGGTGCCTACGCAGTACGAGTTTATTTCCGATATTCGATAACTTGTCCCGTTGCCAAGCAATCAATACAAATGTATATCGAAATGCTATTTTATTTTACAAAAGCTCACAAGTTATAAGGGCTAGAGTATATATACACATATCAAGTATCTTTAATAATAATTGTATTTAATTTTTTTATTACTAAAGCAAACGAACGCAAGCTGCATTTGGTGTTGGTAAAAGAGGGTTTAGGGTATCCCCTAGTCGTGTGCTCCCGAGTAGAGTTTCTTACTTGTTTTGTGTGTGTGTATTTACAAATTTATTTGCTTTTATTTACTGCGGCTGTGTTTTGCTCATTAATTTGGCAATTTGTATGCAAAATGCACACAGAGAGGGCTCCGACAGAGCCCCGCCCATGTTAACTGTCACTGCTTTTGTCTGTTGTAATTAGAATCATGTTAATGAATATTATTTGTTTGTCGGCCTGTCGACGCTTTCATTTCTTTATTTTTAATTCTTTTTAATTATTATTTTTTCGGTATTTATTTTTACTTACTTTCGCTTTCGTTGCATGCTGCGTTTGCCAAATAATTTCTATTTGTTTATTTAGCCAGCCAGAAACGTTTCTTTTGTTGACCAGTGTATGCGCAAGTGATAGTTATTTAAATTTTAATTACTTGTGAGTCTAAAGTGAGTGTTTGAATAACCCAATGAATGAATTTAAATTGTGCATTCAAATGTGAAATTAAATTTGTTGCTCTTGTCAATGATTAAGTTTTTATATTCACATTTGTTGTTGTTTTTTTTTTTACTTTATTTGTTATAATTTTATTTCATTTTTTAACACTGTTTGTCCTTGGCAATTAATTGTTTAATTTGGTTATTTATAATTTAATGATGTGTTGTCAATGCACATTTGCGTTCGGCTTAATTTTATTTGTTTTTTTTTTTTTATGTTATTTTTTTGTGCTCCTTTAATTTCGATTTTAAATTACAAATATCGTTAAGCATTCATTTCAATTATGCAGATAAGCGCAAATGTAATGAAAGTTGAACAAGCGGATTAATGCGCAAAGTTGCCAAAGCGAAATAAAAGCTGGCTTAAAGTCAATTTAATGAGTTATAAAATGTGCAAGTCTGTGACAGTTAGTGGCGATTTGATTGGACATCAGCATGGCTCAAAAAGACTGCTGCATTAAGCCGCTCGGATGCACAATTTTTTTGCTTTTAACTACTAATTATTTGATCTATTTTTTTAACAAAAGGCAGGTATACGAATCGTGTATAATAAATTGGGTTTGTCGTTGGGAACTAAAACAAATGTGCAATAATTTTTAGAAGAGGTTTATCCGGTCATACAATTACATATATAAAGCACTAATAAAAATATTCCAGTTATATATTTCAAAGCTTGAAAAAATATTGTACACAATTTCGGGATTAAAACAAGACAAAATCGTAAAACTCATTAAATCGAATTTATATGTAATTCTTGGAATAATTTTAAAGCTTTGTTTTTTGCAAAATTAGTCATGATAAGACCCAAATATTCTTAATACAAATATTTATATATATATACATATATACTTATATACAAAGTAGACTATATTGCTATATTAATATTTTTCTACTGATCATTCGGTATGATAATTCATTCTATATTTTTTAAAAAGACTCGTACACACACTTTATTTTTCTTTCTTCTGATTATAATATATATACATATATAACTTATTTCTATTTTGTGATAAATCATATAATTTGCATAATATCATGTATTGTATAATTGGGAAGATACTTGTTGTGGCCGCCGATTAAAAAATAAAACAATAAATAATTAATATATTGAAAAAAACTCTCATAATAGTTGGGCCGGACGCTTTTGAAACTGAAAATAAAAAAGTATTCTCTCTAAATTTAATCTCATTTAGATGTTTCGTATATTTTTTGAAATGCTAAACAGACACATACCTGGCCCTTTACCCCTTCTTAAATATTCTCGCTTATCACTTGCTACGCCCAAAACCGTCCTATCATTTGGTTCGGCTTTTTCCAGGTCAGATTCAACTTGTGTTTCCAATTTAGCCACTTTGCTTATTGATTCTTCCGTTGCCTCGCGAGCTGCATATTCTCCACACGTCTCAACATTGCTCTTTCCATTTTTCTCGCAACATTTTGTAAAGAACTCATTCTGCATCTCGTCCCAGTTACTTACATTATTAGCCTTGTCATATTGGGGAGGAGCTCCAGATACAATTGTCAAGAGAAGTGCAAACGTGATATATTTCAGAACCGTATTCATCGTTCGGCTGTTTTCTCGCGACTACCAAATCCGAAATATATTTTGCAAGCTCTGAACAAATTGGACATTCAGATTCGAAGGTGCACTCTCTTCAAAGGTTCGCAATATAATTATAATATAAGTTGGTCGGTAAATAAATATAAAAAGCTTTTTAAGATTATAAATTTAATTTGTTTGTTTGTTTTGATTATCTCTTTCGGCTTGTTGCGAGGCTAATCACAATTAAATTTTGTTTGCACTATATATTTATTTATTACAAATGCCATATTATTAAAGCATACAATTAAAAACTATTGTGGAATTATGTCTTTCGGCCTTGCAGATATAAGAGAAGAATAGTGCTCGGAAGTCTTGAGCCCAGAGAAGATATCTTGGAAAATCAGATCTGAAGCATATACTGAGGGATAGACCAATGCAAAGTATCAAAACGATAGCTTTAAAGACAAGAGACAAATTGTCGGAGGAACTGAGAGGCGGACACATTCCCTAAAGAAATTGTATCTTCTAAAAGGCGTAAGTATTACATATGTCATTTAATATTATTTAGGTGCATAAGCAATCGACATATATAATATTGATATTTTTCCGTGGTCCGATTGAATTTCGTTTAGCGGACACCTGACCCTGCTTGGCAATTTGTTGCGATTGGCATTGCGATTGGTTCGTCTTCTTGTGATACAACGCGCAGAGGGGGGTGGGGATGGGGTAGGGGTAAGCTGAGAACAAGTAATTACGTTTTACTTATTGCACTTCTTTTTCTACTTACCTGCAAAATGATAAGGGTAAAGCGAGCAGAGCAAACAGCATGTGGCTCGCATGACGATAACGACTTGGGATAAGCAGGATGCGGAGCAGACGAGTTGAGGGGGGGTGGAATGTGGTTGGGATTGGAGTGGGTTATGTGGAATTAAGGCAGCCCCTGCAGTGCAGCTCAGCGCTTGGCCCATTGTTTGTTTTTACAGCTGTGATTGAGGTGAAATTGCATATTTCTGTGCGCTTCCTTCATTTCATTTCATTTCATTTTGCCGAGCTCCAGACGGTATGTGTGTGTGAGTGTGTGCGTGTGAGTGTGTGCGTGCGAGTGTGTGTGTACGAGTGTGTTCTCATAATAATAGCAAACGGTTTGTTGAATGTCGTGTACCATGCCCCGTCTTCAGGCTGACTGCACCGAGTTGCTCACTTGACCCGCCCATCGCCCCCCGTTTATTGTGCAAATACTCGTAAATGTCAGCTGAGGAAAATGCTCGACAATGGATACCAATTTCCAGTTAGGCAAATTATTTGTTTAGTCTGGCAAATAAACATACAATACAAGCCACCAAGAGCTGCACCTAAACGTGGGTTAAACTCTCGGAGTTTGAGTAACCTTTCCCAAAATTGCAATTGCTTACGAGCAGGCTGGAGGATATCTGTCAGACAAGAGCTGCTATGTGTAAATACTCGCATATTATTATCGAAGCAGTCAACAGACCGTAGCTTTCCGACTCGTATTATATTGCTTAGCTTCCGCCCCAACTAAGTATCGATAGAACGTGATATCCTTAGCCAGGATGCACAACTTGATCAAGAGTCGCGCCGTTTTTGAGATATTGAAGAAGCCGCTGCCCGAGCTGCTGCGTTTCTACAGAGAGAATGAGAGTGAAAGCGACTGCGAGGAAACCGCGGCAGATCCCGGAGATGCAGCAGCAGAAGCAGCTGCTGAAGCAGAAGCAGAAGCAGCCGCAGCCAAGCTGAATGTAAACGCGAGCGTGTTTGTGCCGCGCTCCAAGGATGCCAGCGTCGAGACCGAGGACGTGCGTCTGGGCGAGCTGAAGCGCCACTTCGAGGCACTGGACGTGCGCAAGCCGACGCAGCCGAAGTTAATGCTGCCCTGGAAGGGCTTTCCCAAGCCGATACCCGCCGACCGATCCAACAAAGCGTGTAAGTACTCCGAGTAGCTACTCCGCTCCGCAATCGCTTCCATTTCGCCACACATCTGCAGCTTCGGCCCAGAGCAAAGATTTGAGGGTTGCAGTCGTTGGTGATGAGATAAAAGGCGAGGCCCGTCTGAAGCGAGCTCAGCTGGACAAGGAGTCGTTCTCGTCGCCAGGCAGTCGCAAGAAGCAGGTGAAGGAGCGTTCCCTCATAAAGTCCGCCGTGCCGGACGAGAAGCGGCGTGAGCAGGAGCGCAAGGTGGCCCTGGAGGCACTGAAGCTGGTCGAGCAGCGACGCATGCGAGAAACCCTCGACCAGCCACAGATCATAGTTCATCTGACACGGTCGCCTGTGGATTTTACGCCGGAGGAGCGCGTGCGTGTCAACCGGCTGCGCATCATCAAGCGCGAACACATCGAGAGCGTGCTGCGCGAGATGCGCGACGAATTGGAGCTGAAGCAGCAGCAAAAGGCCGACGGCATGCAGCCAGCCAGTCGCTACATATGCCTGCAACGCGCCGCCAAGCCCGACGCGCAGTCCACGCCCCAGCCGGAGCAGCAGCCGCCGCCGCCGCCGGCTAGCTCGACACCGAAGCGTTATATACCCACGGTCAAGCAGTGGGACGAGCGTTGCAAGGCCAAGGCCAGCGAGGCGGCGGCCGGCGCCAACAAGGAGAACAACAACATGGCCGGCAGAACTCTGATCAAGCTCGAAGAGAACGCAGCGGCATCACAGCGCGCCATGGGCCCATCCAGCCAGGGCAACATCATGCACACAGCCACAGCCGTGGGTCAGAGCAAGCCGCAGCCAAGCGGCGCCAAGGATCGCGAGCTCTTTGTGCCGCGCTATTGGCCACCGGCTCCGCTGGTGGCCAGAGGCGAGCGGCGTCGCGGCAATCTGACCCACGCCCGCAATATAACGCGCGCCTTTGCCAATTGCGGCCTGCTGCCCACGCCGTCGACTGCCTGGGAAACATCAGCCAAGGAGGAATACGAGATGCCACAGGTGGCGAAGAAATCGGTGAAACGCTACGGTATGGAGGAGCTGCTTCAACTGGAGCCACAACCACACGAACTTGAGAAGCCCCACATCGCTGAGGCACACCAAAAGCTCGGATTCATATGCGCATAATTGCAGCTGCCGAGCCAAATACCTTGCCCTTGGCTCTGCCTCTGAATTGGTCCCTGTTTTAAGTTCTTTGTGTATTCAGTTAGTTTGTTCATTTTCATGTTATTTTCTCCTTTCAACCAGTTGCATATCCTGCTGTTTAACGTTCAGCTCTTTGTCTCGGCTAAAGACGAGCTAATTACCATTTATATTGAGCACGTCTGGATTTGCAACTCAATTATTATTAATAATAAAGTATCTGCAGCAAACTACAATTTCGAATGTCTGGAATACACAAATATCTTTGATTTGAATATCAAAATCGAATTTAAAAAGTATATTTCAATTAGAGAAATTAATAACAGAAAACTTTCTTGCTCGCCTAAAATACATTTTTATCTGACAATAATGAAATTATGATTCTGGATTTCTCGGATTGCTTTAATACACAGACAACTGCGCATCTATCTAATCCCAAAGTATAAAAACTCACTAAAATTTCACATGTTTTTGCTGATAGGCAACACATTTTAAGCCGCTTAAAAAATATGTAAGGTGAAGAAAACATTAAAGGCCGGAATTTCAGTTCTCTTACTACGAGGGGAACCTTGAACCAGATTATCTGCTCAATAAGCTGCTGACCCTGAACCCAACCTAATATTTTATCGTTACTCGAAAGAGTTTTTCAATATAGTTATTTAATTTGAAAATAACTTAATAAATTATGCTTCTGCGGTATCCCTTTAATACACAAGCAACTGTGCAGCTATCTAATCGCAAAGTCTAAAAACTCGCTTCGGGCTGAAGCGTCAGTCACTTGTCCCGACCAACAGGATGTGTGCATTTGCTCTTATTTTCTTTTAAAAGGTTTCATTAAATTGATGTCGACCCGTTGATGCATCTGAGCTACTCAGCAGTCAACTGACGGATGCGGAAACGGCGACGGGTGGCGGGTAGTGGCAAGGGGTCGCTACAGTGAAGCCATAACTTAAAAGGCGCCCGGCAGTGCATCCTCGTGGATGGCCAACAATTAACAGCATAAATTTAAATATGCAATTAACGAAACAGCTTGAGGCTAAAAAAGAGAAATCAAATGAAAGGCAACAGCAGCAGCTACTACAACGGACGCAACTATGAGTAAAAAATGCTCGAGAACAAGATACCCATTAACGTGCTCAATTAATTTATTTGCCAACTATTTCTATAGATAGTCCTTGCCTTGAAACTACATCAATTTGTTAATAGGCGTAAATACTTGAATGGCATATAAAGAAAAATTGTCTTCCGACATGTTTTTCGTTCTGTCAAAAAGTGTTGCTTGCCTTGCATATACCCTCCATTGTTGTCTTGTCTATAGGGCATACAAATGTTTGCACTGGCTGCGGCAGTGGCGACAATGAAAGCCAAAGGTCATTTTAACACATGGACAACCACACACACACAGTGAAATGCATTTGATTGTTTGTGTTTTCCATTTTTTAAAAATACACAACAAACAACGCGCGAAAAAAAAACAACACACACACAATTTTACGCTTTATTTACGCGATGGCCACCAACAATACCGGTCATGTGATACGCTGGCCAGCTCCAGCAGCAACCCGCAACACCCAACACCAACACCCACCAGCACACAGCAACAACTGTAGCACCAGCAGCACATGTCAATATTTTAACGCTCAGCCACAAGGGAAGCCTGGTTGCTGCCACATTCACTCGCTCTCTCTCTCTCTCGTTCGGCTCGCCTTTCATTTGTGGCAATTGGAGTCGCGGCGTTATTGATGTGTAAAGTGGACGCCGTTGTTTAATAAAATTAAAACACAAATTTAATATCGCCTCCTGCTGAGCGCTGATTTCGCGCGTTAATAACAACAACAACAACAACAACAGCGACAATAATGGTAAAAATAAAAAATAATATTAATATGACCAGGCAATGCATGCGAAATTGCTCAGTGGAGCTTCAGCCAATGTCTGTGCGCCCAAACCTATTTTCATACCATGAAGTCAAAGTGCAACTGTCAACTGGCTCATTATCAGCGGGTTGTTAAGCCGCACAGTTAGTTAATGTGGCCTCGAATACGCCGCAAGGACTCAAAGCAAACGAACAACTTTTCATCGCCCTCCCCTTGGAACTGCTTTGGCTGGCTCCTGAACCTTGCACACGCTTCCTTTCTATAATCATAACATGGCAATTTTATTCAATTTCCTGCCTTTTGTGTGTGCCACAACCAGCTGAGACTCAGACCGCGAACTAAATGAATGAACGCCACCAGCTGGGCATTTTCGACTTAAGGGATGCCCTATAAAAAAACAATGCAATAATTGAAAAGAGATATAATTAAAAGTTAAAATTAAAACTAAGCTTGGGGCTCGCACCCCTGAGAAAATGGAAAAGAATAGTATATTTTTTACACAAAAATTATCTGTCATTTTTGGACTATTGTTTGTATATGCTCATAATTTTCAGATTTTTTTTCTACCTATTTTAG